GGGGGGGGGGGGGAAGTTTATAAGATTTACGCTCTTAATTCTTACTCCGAGATAATCGTTTAAAAGTTAAACTTAAATGTGTTATAAATTGTTAAACTGATGGAATTATCCATTTCCTTCTATCTTAAAATTGATTACTTTCAATTGCAGTTCTCTTTAAAAGTAAACGAATGAAGTTGTCAGAATCAATCACTTTTTCAGCTAAAAAATCCACGAAATTTTAAGGTTTGAAGGGTTATGACGTGAATCGAATCCAATGTATAAATATAAAAATATATTGATTCCGTTAATGTTACTTAATACAGGGAGCATCTACTAGTGCATACTGAGGGAAAGTTAAACTGCTCACAATGTCCGCCAGATTCTACCTCTACCTACACCAGAGAAGCACTCAAAACCCATCTCAAAAAGTAAGATTTGATTAAGTTAGTGCAATTAAAAACTATTAAACAAGATTTCTCGTTAAATTTTGAATTATTTTGTTTTTAGAAATCTTCTTTGCGTTGTTTTTATTTGAGCGGAAGGATTTATTTTAGTTTTTATAAAGCTTTGTATAATTCGAAAATTTCTAAGATTAAATCAATTTTCTACAAATGTTTTCTTGTTTGTTGTTGTTTTCCGTCTCTAGCCATAATAATGGAGAATTTCTCTGATAGTCTATTGCATTAAGGACCCCTAAATCCATCCTTTGAAAAATGGATACGGACCCGAATTCGGCGTATGGACATGTGTAGTAAACACCTACTCCATAACAAGTTCTCGAAACGTATCTATCCAGGTCCTACCTATTCGCTATCAAAGTCAACCAGGACACAATCCCACGAACTATCAACGTCACTACCACTGCACTGGGCGCGATCTCTGTAGCTATCTAACCAAGCAGGGGCGAATACAGGATTTAAGTGAGGGGGGTGCTAGATTTATTTCGGAACAAAAACATCCAGATTTATGAACAACATTTTTTTAAGATAGATATTTTTCCTGTATTGCACTAGGTTTTCTTTCCCTGTGCTATTGAGGAACTATTCTGAAATCTCATGGGGGGGGGCTATGCTTCGAAGCCCACCCCCTGAATCCGTCAGGGGGTACGAAGGTTCTGCCACCGCCCCCCCCCCCTGTATCCGCCCCTGAACCCAAGCTATTAATCCAGGATCTAAATGCCACACCGGGACACAAGCCTAGCTATCAAACAAGCTATATATTGATCCCAAATGATGGGGAGGACCTTACGCTCTAAATGCCACACAGGGACACAAGCCTAGCTATCAAACAAGCTATATATTGATCCCAAATGATGGGGAGGACCTTACGCTCTAAATGCCACACAGGGACACAAGCCTAGCTATCAAACAAGCTATATATTGATCCCAAATTACGGGAACGATCTTCAACCTGTTTATCAAAACAAGAAACAATTACTTTCTCGCAGTACGGAGTTGCTCTATAAACTGACTTTATTTAGATATTTCTCTTGATCTTGAATCCAGCCGTTTTTCTTCATATTCGATATTTTGCTGTTCGCTTCCATAGCTGTTCCTGCTGTAACCCCTTCTAGATCTGTTTCTCCGCGATGTTTAGGGGTTGGCTCTATCCCGAGAATTTAAAAAGTTTGACTGCTTCCTCTGTCAACTTCCCGTCTTGGTTTACTATCTCCATTTTATCTGTCTCGAAGTTTTCAAGAATAAATGTCATCTTCCTCTCTTCTGTGGATAAATCTGATTCTCGTACATCATTAATTGTTTTTCTATAATGTTTTATCTACATTCTCTTGTTTCTTTGGGTCCAGGGGTTGTCTGTTGCCTGATGGCTCATATCTTTCTTCTGCAATATTAGTTCTTGACCTGGTTCTTGTTCCTCTGGTAACATTGATTTGTTGGAGTTCTTGTTTTCTAGTTTTCTTTCTCCCTTTTTGTTTCAAGCTAGACTTCTTGTTGTACCACAACTCCCGTACTGAGATTTACTGCATGATTCAATCTGTTTGACGCACCGTGTTTAACTTCCACCAATTCTCATGTTTGCAACTCTATCAGTTTTGCTCATCTTTATCGTAAATTTTTACGATAACCGCTACAGCAAATTCTCATATTTTTATTATATTTGACCAAGTCTTCAATCTTTCATTTGATTAGCCATCACCTGAGATTAATATTTTGAGAGTGTAAAAATTTTGTGCATGTTATTTTATACTTTTTATTTGGATGCGGTTCTGCGAATACGCAATTACATGTTTTTGGTTCCGGATCCTAGGCACTAAATTTATATATTTAGTTTCCATACGGCTGGAGAGTTTCCATGTGTGGTTCAGGGATGTGAAACTGTTCTTCCAACAAAGGTAGGTTAGTGTGAAGTTGAAGTGTGCTCGTAGACCGGAATCTAGCCCCCGCCCCCCTTGTTTGCGAGGAACTACCCATCAAAGTAATTACTTCATTCTCATGTTTAATAGAACTCGCTGTACAATATATTAGCTTGACAATTTCTAGGTAAATCTCTGGAACAGAATGAATAAAGTTTCTATTTTATTTTGTTTATTTTCCATTTGAAGCGAAGTGTTGAGTGTTGATGTATCTAATGTCAAAATGTGACATTTTATCGACATAGTAAACATTTTTGCAAGAAAGAGAGATGGAAGTATTGAAACTGAAACCATTCATATTTTCAAAATATTTTTTATGATGGGTTATTTGCATCAAGAACTTAAAAATTGTTTTAAACTCTGAGTTTAATACTTGTATTTGTGCAGTGCGCAACATAAACTGTGTAATCTGATAGGTCTAACTCTAATACTTTATATTTGAAATATTAAAGGTTGACACCATCAGGTTTACAAGATACAAGGATTCGAAAATTATTTTTAGTGGCAAATGTTCATTTTTTTATTTAATCTTGAAGGAATAAAAATCTTAGCTTCGGTCAGGAAAGTAAACTGAAAAAGATGCTTTTTTATGCTTCCAAAGATAACGTTTTCACCTTCCTTCATACCTCGTTAAAAGTACAGATTTAATGATTAGAAAAATTTACACCCCCTCCCGCCAAGAAAACTTGATTTATGTGATTTCCCCTTTAGTGAAGAGAAACTAACGCAGGTATTTTTTTTCAGAGTGAGCTTAGAGAACACCAGAGCACAGAACACTCGACTCTAATGCGAGGAAAGGACAACATGTTTCATTGTTACATCTGTGATTATCAATTCCCTACGAGAACGAGGTTAAACAAGCATGTGAAGATCTGCGAGGCCGGAAGAACTAAAACCTTGTTCCGAAAACAGATTTCGGATGTTCTTCAGTGGATTGAGAAGGGTTCTTACAGATGTACCTTCTGCCAGGCAGAATTTCATCCTGAACCTGGGGATGTGACATTGGTAGGTGGATGAGATGGGATGGGATGGGATGGGATGGGATGGGATGGGATGGGATGGGATGGGATGGGATGGGATGGGATGGGATGGGATGGGATGGGATGGGATGGGATGGGATGGGAATAGATTCATGACTGTAAATGTTTATTTTTTAATTGAATTTATGTTACTATCTAAGCTATGATCGTTACCAATTTTATATATTATTTATTGGGAAACATGATATTGTTTAGACCGGACTTCCAGAGGCGCGTAATCATGTGGTCAACGTTCATGGTATGCGTCACATGCGTCGGTTGAAGATGGGTTGGTTGGGAGAACCTGCTACACTAGATAAATCTGAACGATATAAGGATAAATCTTATATATGGGAACAGAAAATGAAGGTCAGTTATTCAATGCAATTAACCGTTTATATTTAAATCTAAAACAATATGTATCCCAGGCTTAAGAAAAAAGTTGTATTCTCCTAGTCCTAACCCCCCATTTAAAAAAAAACTTGAATTACATCGATGTACAATTGGTGCAATGTTTATTTACTCCCAGTGGAAAATGTTATCAAAACACAAAATAAAAATTGCTAATTGCTTTCAGGATATTGAAAAAGCAAGAAAACTTGAAATTCAGCAGACCAACATACAGAATATTCAGCAAGAGGTGACAAAATTTAGAATTTATGAATCTAGGACCGAATTTTATGAATTGGAGAGTTCGCTGAACTGCCTATCGCCAGCTGAAAGCCTGAGTCACTCAAATCTTCAGTTATTTTTTTTTTATTTATTTGAGCCGGCTGTAAGTAGTTCAGCGACCTAGCTGAAAATCATTAAATTTGGTCTTTAGACTGACAAAGTTTAGCGCTTGCTTGTTAATTAAGACATGGTTTCCATATTTTTCATTGTGTCAGTTAGATCATCATTCTAACATGTTTTGATCTTATCATCAGCAAAATGTTACAGATTTTTACAGTAACCTCATTAGAAAGGGAAATGAGCATCGTCCCGTCTTGCGTTGTCTAGTTCGCAATGTGGATAGCCGGACGTCCCTAATGATTCGATTCGATTCGATTCGATTCGATTCGATTCGATTCGATTCGATCCGATCCGGTTCGGTTCGGTTCGGTTCGGTTCGGTTCGGTTCGGTTCGGTTCGGTACTGTAAAACTTGCTCTCGCTGCTTGTCTAAAGGTCGGTCTGGTAATGTTTTTTATTATTTTTACCCGGTGTTAAGAATTCGTGTCCGCAGTTTTTGGTGGATCTTGACAGTAAAATAAAATAAATGACGTTTTTGATCCAATGTTTTTCATATTTAAGCGCAAAAGAATCTTTTGTGTGGAATTATTCTAATGAATGATTTTAAAGGTTAGTCAAAATATAGCTCGAGCAGCTACCAGTTATCAAACCATGCTTGAAGCTCTCTCTCAGACAGGAGGACCTGCTCCGACAGAATCTGTTCTTCTTGAGGTCATAGGAAAGGTAATTTATTGATCATTGGATTTACGATGATTTCGTATTGGAGGGATTTGTCGTAAAATTTCTGATTTTTATTTGACATGATAAGATTGATAAGAATGTTAAAATAAATTAACATTCAACCCAAATATATTACTTTGCCTTTAATTGCTTTATCAAGGAAATGTGCCATACAAAAACATTATTTTAATCAACTGCTTTCTATTTTTGTAATGCTCAGGTTTTAAATACAGGGTCCTCAACATAGAACGAGACTTCAGAGACGACTTTATATAACTTGTTTATTCTATTTTAGCGAGAAATTCAAATTCAACCTTCAGATAGTCATGAGAATCTTCTCCTTAGTGGGTAACCCTGTTATTAAAGCCATGATTATTATCTAACGTGAGGAACGTTATTAAAAACAGGTTTGGTCTGATAAAGGTGAAACTGACAATTCAGGAATAAAGATATACCTCAGACTTTCATGGAGTTTCAGTTATCTGAAAGCCTAAACAAAACTTTTACCAGATCCATATACCACGTAGTCCAATTCTTGACATCTGTTTGTTTAGGGTAATGTTGTAAAGAAGGAGGAAGCTGGTTGGAGAGAGGAAGGTGAGGAAGGATGGAGAGACGATGAGCCCCGGGACTGGGGTCAAGGCGTGGATCGCATCTACCTTAATGTTGTTGAGGAGGACTGTATTGTCAGCCAGAGTGAGGTCTATATCCAGGAGAAGGGTGACGGGGAGGACCAGGTAAATAACCGTTGAAATTTTCGCAAACAACTTTTAAATAGTTAAGTCCAGAGGCGTATTCAGTGGGGGGGCTATGGGGGCAAAGCCACCCTGAACCAGTGAAATCTATGGATACCCAACTCCCTTTAGAATAGACAAATATTTTGTGTTTACTTTCTTAATTTTTTATGTAAACCTTATAGATTAGATAATTACATAAGAAACATAAGAAAACCGATCGACTATTCTTGAAATAAAAAATATTTTGAGTCTATTTTTGTAATTTTTACTGTAAACGTTACAGATTCGATGATTCTTTTTGCAGTTTTCTGTCCTTGCAAACTAGGATCCTTATTGGTCAACATTTCAAACCCCATTTTATCAAAAACGGCTTTTCATTAAATTTGTTTAACACATATGTTTTGAAATCGACTAATCCTATACTTTCAATTTCCCAAAAAATGGGGTAATTTTAAGTGAAACCTAAAACCCAAATTTGTCATGTGTGTGTAGGTCGTGTAGGTAGCTACTTATTACTGAGTTTTCTGTTTCCCTGCAACTTTGTTTTCTTAACATATACAGGGTGAGTCAAAAAAAAGTGTGATTTGCGGTGCCTGGTGCAAAATTGTACCCTTTTTTCGTGCAACTCTCCTGGACGGTGTTTTTTCAATGTTTTTTAATGTTTTTTTGGTCCCAAAAAAAATCCCCGAACCTTTTTTTCTCTCAAAATCAAAAGTTCAGAAAAACAAAAATGTAATAAATTATTTCTATCGAAATCTAAAATTTTAAAAAGATTGAATCTCAGAAAATTTGCAAAATTGTAATCAGAAAATTTGCAATTTTCAGTTGTGGTAAAATTTTTACGGAAAAGTTATTCAAATTCTCTAGTTCCTTTCTTCTTGGTATATTATTGGTATTAAATATACGCTGTTCAGTTGAAACCTGAAGAAACCTTGAAAAACAATTTTTCCGTAAAAATTATACCAGAACTGAAAATTGCCAATTTTCTAATTTAATTACAATTTTGCTTTTCTGAGATTCTGTGATTCAATCTTTTTAAAATTTTATATTTCGATAGAAACAATTGATTTACACATTTTTGTTTTTCGGAACTTTTGATTTTGAGAGAAAAAAGGTTCGCGGATTTTTTTTTAGGGCCATTGAAGTAACAAAAAAAAATTTAAATATTGAAAAAACGCCATACAGAAGAGTTGCACAAATAAAGGTACAACTTTGCACCAGGCGCCGCAAACAACACTTTTTTAGACTCACCCTATATATATTTTCTTATTTAACTTGCAGATGAACTCGGTTTTCTTAATATTTACAAGTATTCAAAGATTGCTTATTTTCAACCATAATTTTTTTTAATTAACAAATTAAAGGAAACGAAGGATTTTACCTTAAAAACCTCCAATAAATGCCCTCCCTCCCTCTTTTTTTAAAATCAATATCATTTCGTTGATGACTGCATTATCTCATTAATTTTGTCGGATTCTGAAGTTTTCCTGTTTATCAGAATTCTCTGTTTGATGCTAAATCAATGACAAGTTTTCAAATCCAATTTAGATTTAATCTGTTATCTAGCCGGGGGGAAGATAACAAATATTATTAAGAATATTATTAGAAAATTTAAGAATCGGAATCTAATTTTGATTTTGATTTAGGCCTAAAATAAATGACATTGTGTGTCGGCAACTTTATTTTGAATTTTGTCAAAGAATATTTAAACTAAAAACAAAAAGTTTCTTCTTATATTCTTGGCGTTTAGACGAACATGAACAAAATAAAGAGCTTCTCATATTCTAAAGATTCCTAATATTTTTCCCTAACTCTATACTCTGTAAAATATACATGATAACGATTCAAGGAAGGTACTCAGTGAACACCCGTGTATTTCTTTGCTTGCTTATAAGTGTACTGCTAACGTTTCTGCGCGAACTATTAAGAAAAATTGCAGTACCTGTACACTATTATTTTCAACAAAGAAATAGTTGTTCCTGGTAAACATTCCTTGACTAACCTATCCTTGATCTCCTCCAGGAAAACGAGAACCAGGTGTTTGTTGAGACGGAGTCAACTGAGGAGCAGAATATTCTAGTCACAAACCAGGTAAAAGATATTTCAGCCTTGAGGTTTAAACTTTAATCTAAACCGATATTTTAAACACTAAGCCTCGATCCCCAGAGCAGAAACTACAAATTTGAAGCTATTAATTGCTTCATCCATGAAATGTGACCTCGCATTTTTAAAGATAAGCTTTATTGGCTAGTTGGGAATTAGTTCTATCCTCTCCTCTCCCCCCCCTGGATTAGTCATATTGAATACGAGTAAAATGTGTATACTACAGTCGCCTTTACAGTCTAAATTAAGCTTTAATAAACCATGATCAAATAAACTGCAACATCATGTAGAAAAATTTTAAAACTAGATCTTAAGTAATAGTTCTAAAAAATATACGAATTAGTGCTCTCTGAAGGTTTAACCCCTTTTTTTCATCTGACCATTTTTTTAGATATTTATAGTTCTGTTGAAAAGTATTGGAGGACAATTAGTAGCCCGCGATTTAAAAACTTCGACTCCAGCCGTAATTCCTTAAACCAGGCTTTAAGACCCAATCTTCGACCCAACTCTGACGAAAGCTTGTGTCACGTAATTGACAGCTGCAAGATCTTCGGCTCGACATAACGAGTTAGGCCCAATGAAAATAAAACCGACCTCGGTTAGTTTTAGTGGAGTATAAGGCTCAATGTTGAGTTTGTTCTCAGAAAAACCTGGAATGCGTCAATTCCTACCATGAAAACCCGCCAAATAGAATATTAAACCGGTTTTTTGAACTCAACTCTGGAAAATAAGATGCAGATTGAATTCGAAAGCTCAAGCCGAAAATAAGACCCAACGACAGCTTAGATCCGTATTTTCCTGACTGTTTTAAATCGCGGGCTCAGAACGCGAAATCATTTTGAAATTTGTAAGGAAATATAGTTTGTTTTATTATAATTTTGTCTGGTTCTAGGATGGAGTTATGGTTCATCATGTTCTCCGACCTCAGTCGCCTTCTGATCCCCACTCTATCCTCAGTAACGTAAACCTGGAGGGCAACGTCCAGTTCTTTCTAGAGGACGGTCGCGAGGCTATTGTGGAAACTATTGAGATAGAAATTTAGTTCAGTACAATTATGGGCACTCTTTACAAGTTTACAATATGTTTTTTTTTTATAGATTATCAAATCTGTTATGAATTCGGTTTATTCAACAGTAATTAACTGTAAAAAATGTTACCGGTATTTATGTGATTATCCTAATGTATAAATGTGTTATATCCTACAGTAATGGTTCAGTACTCAACAGTATTCTGTAAAATTTTTAAATGCATATTCCTTTATCTGCGATGATTTTTCCTTTCTTTCTTTTATAGACGTCAACTGGATGAGTTTTAATTTTACGAAAATCATATTTTTATACGGATCAATGCCGGATCAATTGTACAAGTTAAAATGAACCGTTTTATCTTTATTTTCTATTTCTAAAAGTTACCATAACCAATTTTAAAACCTTGATTGTATATTTGCTGAGTTGAGACAGATGAGATATAGGTTCTAGCCTAGCTTGTCTAAACTTCAAATTAGTTTTCCCACCTCTTATTTGTTTAGTTTTAACAGGATTAAATTCCAGCACTACATCTTTCAGTCTCAAAAGTTAGATTAAACCATATCATTTCCAGCATTATTAGAATTGACTGTTATATTTTAATACTGTTCCCTGAAAAGATGTGTTCAATCATGAAACTAAAATAATATTAAGTTTTGTAATCTTTGTAATCATGGAACTATTATGTTTTGTCCACGTTTTCTTTAATTTATTAAATTTAAGTAACTGCATTTCAAGAACGTTATGCAGTGTCCTATTCACAATCCAACTTTTTACCGCCCTATCCAAGTAACAATGAGGAAGAAAACGTTGTTTGTTCCTCATAGCGAGGTGCTTTCCCCGTCCCAATATATGTAACTTTAAAAGGGAAATCAAAATTGAAAGAAAAAAAATTTATCTTATTCATCCTTGATCAGACAAAAGTTAAAAGAATCTTGGTTTGTTTGAGCACCTACGTTTGAATACTGATGAACTTGTTTTCATCTAATATTTTTAGGAACAATTTTATGCACTATTTCTATTGTATAAAGTTCTAGAATCAAGATGTCTAATGTAGCTCAGGTATCAAGAATCAATGTGTCTAATACAGCTCCGGTTCAAGGTGAATCTCTGATGAATACTGAAACCTGGGCTCAACACTTCCCTACCACAATTAACACGGAGCAGGTATTAAATGGCCTGTGCTGGTAACTTTTCTATTGATGATATCGAGATCAATGCGTGATCTAAACCATTTGTTAATCTGCAGATTAATTTAATCTTTATTTGATATCCCGCAGTGTAAATGTACCCTGACGGGATAAATGAAAGGAAGAGATTAACTTCAAAACAAAAATGTCCACCCTAGATATCGAGATCGGAGTTACGAGTTCTGAAAACGTTATTTTCTGCGAATGTTCGGTGGTTTTTGATACCTTAAAGCTTCTTGTCTAGAGATAAGGAAACTCTTTCTTTGAATGTATATTGCATACAGAGTATAGGATACAGGTCGGTCGGTATATTGCATACAGAGTATAGGATACAGGTCGGTCGGTATATTGCATACAGAGTATAGGATACAGGTCGGTCGGTATATTGCATACAGAGTTCAGGATACAGGTCGGTCGGTATATTGCATACAGAGTATAGGATACAGGTCGGTCGGTATATTGCATACAGAGTATAGGATACAGGTCGGTCGGTATATTGCATACAGAGTTCAGGATACAGGTCGGTCGGTATATTGCATACAGAGTGTAGGATACAGGTCGGTCGGTATACATGTCGGTCGGTATATTGCATACAGAGTATAGGTTACAGGTCGGTCGGTATTTTAAATTTTCAACGTTTAAAATCCCTTGACAATTGATACCTGGCCTTATTGCTGTCAAAAAAATCGATGTTTTTCTCTTTTTGTTTATTTTGATTGATTTTTTATTTAAAGTTAAATTTTTATTTTGTATACAGTGATGACCAGAATATAGTAGAAAAGGAAGAAGCAATTGATGCAATACTGAAGTGCATTTGATGTTGTTAAATAGCTTTACTAGGAAGTTATTATAACACTTATTTGGTGAAATGGGTCTGTCTATACTGCACTATTCATTTTCATTGGACTATTTAAAGGCATGACTTAAGTTATAAGTCAACTTCCTAATCTAGAATTTTCTTTTACTAATAAGGAATCTTTTGTGTTTGTGAAGAAACTGTTGACTACAGCCTTGTCGAGTTTAACTTATATCAGGCCAGAGAAACAATAATACCAGAGTCCGATTTTAACGAATTTGAGCCGCGACTCAAATAATAGTTATGATCAGAAATACAATTTACAAACAGAGATTACCACTATAAATATAGATATAGGTCAATATTGTTTCTTCTAACCCCCCAGAGGCCTCCTGCCGGAGCACTGTTATGCAAACAGGAAGATGGATGAAATACCTATAAAGGCAGGATGGGGTGCACAAATCTTAAGCTTTTACCAGTCAGTTCATCGCCCCTTATGAAATTGAGTTCTTGGCACACTCAATCTAATCCTTATATCTTTTAAACCTGAAGGTGTAAACCTTTGATATTTTCAAGCTTAGATCATTTTATCTCACAGAATTAATATTTAGAAATGTCTAAGGTTTATAAAATCGGGTTGCAAAGATAAAGGGTTTGAAAATTAGAGTTTGTACAATGCAATGTTAGACATAGAAAGCAATTTATTGTTTAAACATTGCATTAAACTGTATTTTGGTGGGAAACACACAAAAAAGTTATTTTCTCTCAAATGTCGACTTCCTTTAAAATTCAGCGGATATTAATTCCAAAACACCAAATGTCAGAAATGGGCCAAATCTGCAAAGGTCCTATTTTGAAACAGTTACCGCACTTCAGCTCATGTTGCTTTTTGGAACATATCCTAATTTCCGGACATTTACTCAATCTCAGTTTCCACATTTTATTTGTTAAATAAGAAAACAAAGATTTTTTTCGTGCATTTAAATAAACAATTTCCCGCATTTCTAGTTAAATTTAAGTGTAAAAAAATGATATCAATAATAATTTTTTAATGAATGAAAGAACGGTTTGTTGTTATTGTTTATTGTAATGATTAATGTTTTCAATCAAATACAAGCAAGATGTAAATCCTAGAGAATTTTAATTGCATCCATGGTCTAGGGTTTTTGCAAATATTTCACTCTAGATTCCCGTACTCTCGTTTTAGCATCAATCTCTTTAATAACTTCTATATATATATATATATATATATATATATAACACATATACTCTGAGAGTTACATATATATATATATATGTATCTCTCAGAGTATAAATGAATTGGAATTGATCAGTTTCATAGCTTATTTATTAAATACATCTGGAACGTTATTCATGTTTTCATCAGTTCCTTTAGATATTCAGCTGGTACAGTTCAGGATCTGTCGAGCAGCTCCCTCTTATTCTATCTCGTTCATCTGCTCTCAGAGTCTGTTATCCTGGCTGCTCCTACATACTGGGATGCTCTTATTGTATCTTGAGCTGCTCTTTTAGTCCACGTTATGTTAGTTGTTTTTACGACTGCTCCCGGAGCTGTTCTTGGAGTTCCTGCTATGCTAGCTGTACTTATTCAGTTTGAGCTGCTCCCAGAGTTATCTCTAGAGTCTCTGCTATGTTAGCATTACTAACAGTTTGAGCTGCTCCCAGAGCTATCCCTGGAGTCTCTGCTATGTTAGCATTACTAACAGTTCGAGCTGGTCACAGAGCTATCCCTAGAGTCTGTGCTATGTTGTACTTACAATCCGAGATGCTTCCAGAGCTGTTCCTTGAGTTTTACACTATGAGATGCCCCAGTTCAACATCTATCTGAGAAGCTTCCTCAACTCAATATCTCAGTTAGCTCCTCCACTTCAATATCCATCTCTTAGCAATCTCTCAACAACAGCTTCCACATTCAATGCTGGTTCATTTTCTGCTTCTACTGTAAACCTAACTGCAACTGTGGCTATTCCGGAGTCTCCTCTTATTTAGCTGCTCCTACAATTTGAGATGTTTCCACAGCATTTCTAGCTGCTTCCCTTGCTCGACTGGCAACTGGTCTATGAAGAGCTATCTACAAGGAGCAGTGTCTAATGCATCAAGATCACTTGTGCCTCAACTGTTTCTACTATAGATCTGTGAAGAGCTGTTCCTCAATGAGTGTGGTCTCTGTACTCATAATCCTCCTCTGGGTACTGCTAGTGATTACACGTCAGGTCTGTGCAGAGCTGTTCCAGTGATACTTTTATCTTTAGACCTCCTGGTTTCTCAATCATGTCTGAAGGACGATAGATCCCGTCTTCGTAGATCCTCATGATCTCTTCTTCACCTGGAGTCATTGATCTATATTGGTCTAAACCTTTTTTCTCCAAAAATAAATTAAATCTTTCCGCTAAAATGGCTTATTTTTTAAAAACATTCAGAACAATAAAAATGATGCACCATAACTTACTCCTCAAGTTCAAATGATGACCATAACCAAAATTTATACTATTTAGCGAGAAAATTTTAAAATAGAATTTTTATGTGGAATTCTGTAATGCTTAGGTAATGCCAATTAATATTGTGATTTTTTTCATCTTTTCTTATTCTTTAAACTCCCCATAACTCGGTGCCCACAATGCGTAAAATAATCTTCCTTGTAAAGTGTAAAGCAGTTTAACAACTGAACACACAATTCAATGATATTTAATAAACTTTTAAAATGTCTTTATAGTATGATCTTCCGCGTAATGCCCCTAAATTTTTGAAAATCGCAAATTCAATGCACTAAATTTATCATTTAAAAACGTAATAATTGTCGGAAGGGCCAAATGTTGTTGCTTATGGCTGCCGGAAGACAAAACAGCTAATATGTGCCTTGGAAGGGGGAAATTCCCCCGCTCCTCAGGGTTTGTCCCAAGACATTAGCTAAACGCGGTAAATATTTCACAATATTACTGTGATTTGTAGGTCTCGTACTCGCAAGCAAAAATCGATAAGAATTTTTCCAATTACTTCTTAAATAGTGCAAGATTGTACATGTTAAGGGCTAAAGAAAAACATTAGTAAGTTAGATCGGTAAAATCTAAGTCAAAGGTGTTGCGACGATTCAAAGTCGACCCTGTCTTAAAAATTGATGAGACTGAATCTATGTGATATGGATATGTTCGAAAATTAAATTAAATATCTTCATAAACCATAATCACACGTACCTTATTATTAGTTTAAAGTTGACATTGTTTTACTCGTAATATAATTTTTCTTATTTTATTAAATAATTGCTGTAGTTTATTGGGGTTTACCATTCTACGCAGAGTAACTTCTTAAATGAAAATTCGATGACGTCAAATGTTTATTATAAATCCTCAGTCCACCCCCTTGAACTAGGTATTGCTTGCTAATACTGATCATCCTATTGCCAAAGCACTGGCTACATGTCTGGAGGGTAATATTTATTATTATATTAAAACTACTTAAATCTGATTTAAGGTTGCACACAAAGACGACTTGAAATTCTTAAAATATAATTTCAAGATTAATGTATGTCTCTTCCTTGAAAATATCCCTTCAATGTCTTATTTAAGGATTTGCAAAAGAAACGATCAAATTTACAGCCTCAGAGAATTATGAATTCAAGGAAACAGACAATATAAATTCCGTTTAGTCGTCTCTGAAGATTCATCCTTTGTGGGTGACCCTGTTTATTTCGTGTCTAATCGCTTTTTCATGAAATTATATCGGTTTCTATACTAATAATAAATCCCAGTAGCATTTGAAATTGTAAGGAAGATTGAAGACGACAATACTTAAAAAAAAAATATTTAAGGGACTTTTGAGGCGCTGGAGAAGAAGTATTTGAAAGAGTTCTTCTTCATTATCTTCTTAGACAAGGTAAAAAAAATTTGCTGTTACTATGCTGTCATTTTAGACTAAAGAATTATTTGAACAGCAAATATAACTTATACGTGTTCTTGTAAAGGCTCTTAACCCCAGTGCTTAGGATCCTTTGGATCCGCAAAATTTTGGCTTCCTGGATGCGGATCCTAGGGTCAATTATCAAGAAAAAAAAACAGGAAAAAAACTTTTGCTCTCAAAACTCAAGTATGGCCAGTTGAATATAAGAGAGATTATCATATATTTCTTTATCCCAATGGTATATCAAGTTTTAGTATTAAAATAAGCGAAAAAAGAGGAAATGTTGTTATAAAATTATTCTTCTGTTGACAAAACTAGTAAACCTTAAAATAAGGTTCATGACCAGCATCAAGAACCATATTTTTTCAGGATTCGGATCCGCATTAAAATAAATGGATCCTAAGCACTCTGTGTTACAAAACTAAATATCAAAATTCAAAAGCGGGAGATCATTCTTAAAAGGACGCTATTTTCTGCGTGCACTTTTGCTCAGATCCGTTCAAAACCAATAAATGCAGATGATATATATAATTTTAAGTTCGCATGCAAAAAATCTGCCTCTTAGCTATGCTAAGTTATGNTTACAGAGATTTTACTTACAAATGTATTAAAACTTTCATACAAGTGTATGTGTATCAACCAATGTATTTATTAAAGGATGACCCTGATGGTTCCGTATATGAAATGTACAACTTCAGTTTTAGGTAAGCTAAGAACTTTATCCCCTGAATTGTGTACTTATGATCCGGAGCCCGTTCTCTCCATAATAATGTTTAAACAGTGGTCGTGTTGTTCACGTACTTAGGGGGGCGATAGTTTGGCCGCTAGGTGTCTCACGCAAAATTCTTATCTGATAGATAGATAGTTCTTACGAGAGACATCTAGCGGCCAAACTATCGTCCCCCAAAGTACGTGAACAACACGACCACTGTTTAAACATTATTATGGAGAGAACGGGCTCGGATACACAAACAAATACGCAGGGGCGGATACAGGATTTAAGTGAGGGGGGTGCTAGATTTATTTCGGAACAAAAAATCCAGATTTAGGAACTAAAAAAAAAAAAAGATAGATATTTTTCCTGTTTTCCACAGGTTTTCTTTGCCCTAAGTGCTATTAAGAAGCTATTCTGAAATCTTAGGGGGGGGGATGAAGGTCCTGCCGCCCCTGCAAATACGGAACCACGGATTTGGATTCAAGTGGTAAAGTTTCAACCAAAACATCAAAACTCATTTTTATTGTTGACAAATGAGATATCCTTTAAACCTCCCTAAACATTGATTGGTAAATCAGAAAAATTGTTGTTGTAAGAAGAAAATCAATATTAAAGCTGCAACATGTGCATAGTGTAGGAAAATAAATATTAAAGCTGCGGCATCTGTGTACAGTTTTAATTATTTTATTCTTGCACGTTGGTTTCTGCAACAAATTTTCACCCAGTGCATTGAACTCATATTGAACTAAGGAATTGAGTCTTTGCCTCAAACTCAACTTTTCTAATTCCTATATCTTTGCAACCTTTGATATTTCAAACTTAGATTATTTGTTCTAATAAAATGCATAATTCGAAATATCTAAGGTCTAAGTTTGTGAAAAAAGGCTCCCTTCCTTTTCAACATAGATTTCATTTTCTTCTTTTTTCTATTTTTTTTAGTTACAGTGATGGAGTGACTAGTATGCACGGGACTTCAAACAAAGTAATTTGATTATTATCTTCGCTATATACTAGTGTTTTCAGGCGCCCCCTTTTATTCGAACAAAACTGCTCTGAAAGTGGCCATTTTTATTCATTCTAAAAAAATTCGATGATTTTTCTGTTTAAACGGGCGCATTTTTAAAAATGATAAATGTCCACGTTTTTTCCGGTCGGTTCATAAACTTTCTCCGGGGTCATGTGAGTTCCCTTTTAAGAAATGAAGAAAGAAGTTGAATCATAGACCAAAACAAGATTTAACTCAAATTGAAGAAACCGAACGGATCTCTCCCTGGTGAGGCCAGTGGCCGAATTTAAAGAATTTGAGTCGCGGCTTAAATTTAAGACGCGGCTCAAATATGACGTGTTCCACTTAAAATTGTATTTAATGTTTCAAGATTTATGCCGGCGTTCAATTAAAACCGTTTTTTTGCGGATTTCAGACGCGGCTCAAATTCATTAAATTCTGACTCAAGCAGGGCTGACAACATTATTGTGTTGATTTTTATCATTAAATTACAATATTTCTGATAAAACGTACTTTAGATGAATTAGGTTAGTCTCTATTATATTGGAACTTATATAAAATGGCCACATTAAATAAAATCTGCCAATGTACTTGATCAAAAAGGTTTGAGATTGTAATGTGATTTTTAAACTCTGTCTCGCACTTTTTAAGGTCAATTAAGTATCGTCTTTTGCTAGGATTGGGACATGTTCCACAACCAGTAACATAATAATGTTACTAAAACTGAACTACATAGAGGGAGGGGGGTGCAGTGCCGCCATGAGCCTCGCAAAATTGTCTCCAAACCTCCGTATCCTTTGTGAGTATTTTAAATGACCCGGCGCTACCCTAAAACGTTAGAATAGATATTATAGAAGTATTAAAAACATTTTTTAAAGAAAATATTTAATCTTTTAAATAAAATAGTTATGCAGTGATTTCTTGAATATCCAAAAAACATTGCATAACTATTAAAATATTGAATATTTTTTCTATATATTTGTATACATTACTTCTATAATAATTTCTAAGGATTGGGGTACTGTCAGATAATTTTAAATACTCAACTTCGAACCCAGAGGCTTGGAGACCATTTTGCGGGGCTCATAGAGCCCCTGCACCTCCCCCCTACTACATATCACTGCAAATTCGGTTCGTTTTAATTACAGGGCCGACACTTATGTAGCTAGAGCAAGCTGTAAAGTACACATATAGACTATTAGGGAAAACCGGGATAGTACACAATAAGAAGCATCCACTTCTTGTAAGAATCTATGTGGATTTATTAAATATTAGGCCGGGATAGTACACAATAAGAAGCATCCACTTCTTGTAAGAATCTATGTGGATTTATTAAATATTAGGCCGGGATAGTACACAAAAAGAAGCATCCACTTCTTGTAAGAATCTATGTGGATTTATTAAATATTAGGCCGGGATGAAGTATGAGAACAAGATATACAACTCAACCCGTCTTCTACTCAGGAATCTTTGCTTTTTAACTCAAACATTCGAACCTGTTCCAGACGAGGTAATTTTTCAGGGGTGCCTGTCAAACATTTTAAACTGAAATAGAACTTGTAAATTTAAGAACTAATTATCTAAACAATTTAGTTTCTGAATTTTTGCCTTATTCGTTGTTTATTGTGTGTTTGAAGTGTTTAAAATTTAATACATTTTTTAGCAGAGACAGGACAAGAAATCTAACAAACCTGAATTTTTATCAATTAAACAATTTTCTTAAAATGGCGTATTTTCTGATTTTGATATTGTAGCCTCAGAATCACATGGGGGCCTTCCTAACTACAGGGTGTCCCAATAAACATAGGAATTAGGAAACCACTTGAAAGTCGTCTTTAGTGATATTTAATGCATGACAAAGTATAAAAAAGAGGAGCTTTACGTTTTACGATCTTTTAAAATTAAATATTGCGAAAATTTTGATTTTTTTTTTTAAATTAAAATTTGTACATATTTTGTAATATCTCCGTCAATTTTGTAAATCTCAAGACGAGGCGTTTTTAATATTAGATGTTTAAGTTGGAATACTGCAATAATTGTGTTCATTAAAATTGCCGTATGGTTTGAAGACGATATAAAAGTCGTCTCTTAATTCCACTGTTTATTGAGACACCCTGTATATTACTATTGGGATAATTCGTTTAACTCGCATGATGTTGGACAGCCAAGTGACTGGAGTCATGTAAGTTGCCCAACAAAAATTAGGTTTGATCGGTTTAATATATATTTTAAATACTAGGCTTACCTGACCGTCAAGTTGACCTACCACGAGAATACTCCGGACGAATATGAACCTCCAGGATTCAGTCCTTCAGGTACCCTTCTTATACATTCTTATTCATTCTTATACATTCTTATTCGTGTGTATTCTTATACATTCTTATTCATTCTTATACATTCTTATTCATAAGAAACCTATTTTTTTAGTTAGGGTGGATGTGATTACTTACTTTGTACATAAGCTTTTTTATAATTTTTCCTTCAAAAAACAGAAGAAGGATTACTTCGGTTTTAATTCACCTAAACTTTCACCATATTTAACGAAATTGATAATCTATGCATTAATTTTCTAATCCTTACATCTCTGCAATCTTATGGAATAAACTTTAATTTATCTTTGACTATTATATTTAACAGAATTCAAAGTCTAAAACGACTTAAGTCTATGAATTCAGGTTGCAAAGCTACAGATTATTAAATTAGTACGAGGAGAGTAGTAATCACTGCAGTTCCTTGGTTTTATTTTCTTATTTATTTTTTTCTAGATTCTCATGGCTACCCCTCGCATCAGGAATAATCAAATATTAAGATTAAAATTTTTTTTTTATTAGATTTCTTGATATTTTTGTTTGCAAAATACTTTAACGTTTTTCAAAAATGCACGTTCGCTCGGGCTTAAGGCTAGCTAGCCCCTAAATACCTAGAAGAAGTCTAACGTCTCCATCATTGCTTTTTTAAGGCCAAAATGTGTTGCTTTTTTTGTGTTTTTGGCTGTGAATCAATTTAAGATTAGGTTAAAACCACTTAAACATCATTAATCATAATAACAAGACTATATAAGCGAAAGGTGAACTTTTTAGTTCAAACATTTTTTGCGGGGTTTGAATGGTTTTTTTGCGGGGGGGGGGTGAGCAGGTTTTTTTTTATGCAAACCCTGAATAAACCCCAAATATATTGTATAAATATTTTGACAATGTAAAGAACTGATGACGTTTATCCTTACCTACTAGATGGACTGACTGAAGAACCCAATCTTCATCGCAAGGTAAAATTATCATCAAATATTAATGCCCCAGAATATGAAGAGAGAGGGGGGTAACTAATAGGTTTGCTAAAGGGTAGATGGAGGGTTCTAGAGTTAAAGGGACCTTCAACGTAATTTAGGTGAACTCATAGCAAAAGAGTTGTATGCACTTTTTTCGACGTTCTCCCTACGACCTGTATCTGGGGAAGTTGTGAACGGTTTTTATCTTGAAAAGTATTTTATTAAAGGGAGTAACCGGCAATGTATGGTGGTTGAACTGAATATGTAGTATTGTCGACAAATTTTTAGGATTCATTTGAGACATATATAATGTTTCTACGACGTATATTTACTGAGTTTGATCGCAAAGTCGACGTTCAAAATCATGAATTTGGGTGGGTATAGATTTGTTTTATTTAAATTATCAAATAACACGACATAAAATATAAACAAAATTCTAGAGTAAACTAATTAGTTGTTTAGGAACAAGTTAAGAAAATAAAAATCTTATCATTGAAAAGAAGTAATCTTATTCAATCATTAGTTTCTATAATCTCAAAATTCACAAAGATTTTCGGCAGATTTTCTGGATATTGAAAAGGCGACATTTGAAGAATTTGTAGAAATCTGCGAACAAATTCATAGAAAATGAGAAATTCAATATAATTATTAAGGTTAAATCGAAATAATTGAATGTAGCATTGATTTATTGACAAATTTCTTTGAGAAATATGTTCCTGAACATCTGTATAATTTTTACTTTATTTTTCGTCGTCATTATTTTATAATTTTTAAAAACCCGATTCCAAAAAGAAACCCACTCAAATTCATGATTTTGTACGTCGACTTTGCACTCAAACGCAGTAATTATACATCGTGGAAAATCTAAAAAAATTGTCCACCATCCCTTTAAACTTCAATAAAAAATTATGAATTGTCAATTATTTTATTTTTAAATAAAGAACATAATCGATACATTTGCTCGGACGAAGGTTTGAAGGGTTGTGAATCAGGCATGTCCCTTTTTAAATATGAACTCGCACAGAAATATTCAGGTTGTCAAGCAACGACCGGTCCTTGATGCTCAAGAACATGTTGCTAGTGGAGACGGTGACGCTGAACCTATGTCTCAGGGTTCCACTAAAGAACATATTCAAACCAAGGTATTTTTTTACATAGGCAAATCCAAATTAAGAAAGTGGAGTTTTTTTTTATTAAACGAGATAATGCAGATTACAATTGTACGGTTTGTACAGGGTGTTCCAATAAACATGGGAATTAAGAGACGACTTGAATAGTCTTCTATTTTCGGTAGTTGATAAGTATAAAAGAAATAAAGATGCAACGTCTGTATGAGCTTTTGAAAATGTGGTCTGTCTTCTATGTATCTTCAAATTTAACGGAAAAATTTAACATTTTAAAGATACCTTTGCTCGGACGAAGGTTTGTAGGGTTAGGAATCAGGCATGTCCCTTTTTAAATATGAACTTACGCATAAATTCAGGTTGTCAAGCAAAGACCGGGTATTTTTTTACATAGGCAAATTAAAATTAAGAAAGTGGAGCTTTTTATATTGCTTTTGAAAATGTGGTCTGTCTTCTTTGTATCTTCAAATTTTACGGAAATATTAAACATTTAAAAGATTTCGTTGTTATTTAATGAATTAGAATCTGGACAAGATTTCTCAATATCTTCGTCGATTTTGAATAGGCAAATATTGTAAGCCACATTTTGGAATTCCCAAGACTAGTGGTTTTAATTATGAACTGTTTTATCTGGAATTCTACCAAAATTGTGACGTAATAATTCCACCAAGAACAAAGACGATCCAGAAGTCGTCACTTAATTCCCGTGTTTAATGAGACACCCTGTATAATCTCTCATAACTTGACAAGATTTGCGTTTGTCTGATATTTGCTTATTAGATCCGTGGATTCTAATTTTTTTCGAATCCTAGGCACTGATCCTCTTACATAAATGATTCTCTCATTTTACCCAAATCTGTTACAGCTTAACTGTAAAGAAATAATATAACAAATGAGTCCGATTTGAGAGAACTTAGTCTTGTGAATTCTAATTCTCATAATTTCTCTTATTAATTCTGAAGCAAGAAATGCGAAAGTCATAACAAGTAGAAAACCACAAATGAAAATAAACAATTTTCAAGAACATGGATATCTAATTCATTCTTGATGAGACTAAGATTTTAAGTGTATCGTCGTGAATCGAATATCAATCTCAATATTTGAATTTTGAAAATGCTTTTATATCCCTTTAACATATTTTAGAGTGTTGTTGATTAGTATAAACTTATGTCAAAGTTTCGATTTCCCTTTAACAAAATACTGACCTTGTCATGTTTGTGAAATATTGTTGCAGGATGTTGTGTTGAGCGCTGGAGACTCCGCAGTTTGTTTCTGCGGAGTAGATTGGCAAGATGGTCCTATGCTCCAATGTTTTGTATGTAAGAAGACCAGTCATGGTATCTGCTACAAGATATTGCTGACGGATCAACCAATCCCTCAGGTAAATTCTTAACACTCATTGATAGCCTCCTCCCACCCCCTCTAGTATTTTTTTGCCTTAGCACTTAATTTGACAGTTTTACCTCAAAACTTCTTAATTCTGAAGAGAAAGTAATTTTAAGGATTTTTTGAGAGAATCAAGATTAGAACTGAAATCTATGAATATTAAAATATGTTGGAAGTCCATTTTAAAATAGGAAAATTTCGATTTATAAAGGATCGAAGCTTGAAAATTTTAATGAAACCCCTTATCAATCCAGGAGTTTTACATGTTTGAGCTATGAAACGTCATCCTCTCACATTGAGAGTTAAATATTTCAAACAAACATTCAAAGAAATCCAAATATTTTGTGCGCAATATCGAATAACGGAAAGTATTAAGAAATTACGATCCTTCTGTCTGGATTGGTGAACAAAATTTCGTCGTCAAAGTATGAGACTCGCATGACTACCTGAAACTCTTGAATCAGTGGCCGAATTTAAAGAATTTGAGCGGCGGTTTAAATTTAAGCCGCGGCTTAAATATGGTTAGTTCCACTTAAAATTGTATTAAATGTTTCAAGATTTAAGCCGGCGCTTAATTTAAACCGGGTTTTGCCAGATTTAAACCGCGGCTCAAATTCTTTAAATTCCATCTCTGGACAGTCTAAAGGTTAAACAATTAACATGGGCTTCGGTCTTAAATGTAGTCTAAAGTATGTGCTCTTAATGAATCAAGCAAAAAGTGTATGACTAAGGAAAGCAAAGAATGTGAGTAAAAGAACTGCAAGTCGTCTTTGAAGTCTCATCCTTTGTAGGTAACCCAATACCATACAAGTGTATACACATAATTTTGATATGCTTTCAGGGTCGTTATTATTTCTTTAACAGTGTAGCATGTTTTGTACAAGGAAAATTCTGAGTTCAGATTCCAAGTCATTAAACATTATTAGTTTAACTTTGAGCGACTAGGGCGCATGCCTGGAGTGCAGTGAGACGTATCCATGTTTCAACCCTAGGCTCTCAATAATTGTTCAAAAGAGTGGACTTGAGAAGATTTTAAACAGGGCTCATATCAGGTTAAAATTTAGTTTGTTTTTAAATTCTTCTCTTTATGCACGTGATATTGTTTTTTTTTTTTACCAAATTTATCTTTCAAAGAAACTAGCAGAATAATGAAAAATTAACCACAGGGGCGCAAGAAGCATTTTTGTCAGGGTATTTTTTTTCAATGGTGTGGGGGGGGTACAGATAGAAAAAAGTTTAAATAAAATTTTTAAGTTGTAGCGTGCATGAAGATTTGGAGCAGTGTTCAATCTCTTTTTCAATTTCCTATGATATTGATGTTCGCTTTCTTTCTTTCAAATCTCCAAGTTGATCTGATTAACAATGTTTTGAATAAATGCGTTGATCCAAAGGAATTGAGTCTTTCTAATTCTTTAAACTTTGTAACCCCATGTCGCAGACTTTTAATATTTCAAACTATGAATTCTTTTAGATAAAATAATATAAGTTTAAAGTATCAAAGATTTACACAATGTGGATGCAAAGATTTACTCCCTTTCTTTAATAAAATGAAACATAATCTTTCTTTTTAACCCTAGGCTCAGAAAGGAAGTGAACAGAATTCATAGTTTGACATATCAGAAGTCTACGAAATAGTTCAGCAAATATATAGGGATTAGAAGATAACAGTTTGCGGCAAAAACTCAGTTTTTTTGTTCGATAAACGAAAATTTCTTCTTCAACCCTGTATCTAGGAACAGATACTTTTTAAGTTCCTCTATCAATTTGCAACCTGATGGTACATGTATATTGTAAACCTTTGCTATTTTTAAATTTAATTATTTGATCCAGAACTCATAGCTAGTTTAATATGTTACACAGATGCAAGGACCTTAGCCACAAACTCTGATTTTCTAATCCATATATTTATTCAACGGAAAGTCGTAAACCGGAGATATTTCAAACTATGAATTCTATTTTTTCTTCTCATAATCTTGAGTTCGTTCCCCTTATGTCCATTTGACAGCCAACATTTTTATTTTGAATAATCTTTTTTGTTTCTTTATTATATCGTTAGAACTGACGAGGGTCAACCAAGACCGAAACATATTTTCAATAAATGTGGAACTAACAACTACTTTTTTACTCTACAGAGGTTTGGTCCATCACCATCACCGAATTTAAAATGATTTCTGATATATCAAAATATCTAAGTTTGAAATATGAAAGGGTTGCAAAGATATAGGAAAAAGAACATTTGAGTTTGTGGCAAGAACTCAATTCTTTTATTCATGTTTGCTAGGATGGTTATGTTCCTTCTCTTCGGTAGATCAGAGATCGCGATCAGAGATCTGGAGAAACTATTCACGGAGGAGAAATCAGAAACGATTCTGGAATTCCTGGCTGACCTTAAGATCATTATTCCTAGGTTAGTTTAGTAACGTCATACAGTTGATTTAATGAATATAAATAGGCCTGAGGTTTTGTAAATAAATCAAGGCGAGTTAGCAAATATGTTGGAATTTTTATTGTATTTACTTCCATGAATTATATCTGAACATGGAATAGTGAAGATTAATAAAATACAGAAAATAAAAAGTGCAAGTACTGACCAAGAAAGAGGTATAATTTTTTGCTCAATTCAATAAGTCAAGCAATAGAATAACGCATTTAAAGGGAGTGACCGGCAATGTATGGTAATTGAACTGAGACTTTAGTATTGTGGAGAAATTGTTTAGAAATCATTTGAGACCTATCAGACGTTTTTTTGGTGTATATTTGTTCAGCAAGAGCGCAAGTTCAATCCTTAAAATCTTCTTAGATTGTTCATTTTTGAGGTATGATTGTGAGAGTTTTAAAATTTATTCAATAATGACGACGAAAACTGTTGTAGAATTTCTACAGTAAACAAATTAGTTGTTTAGGAACAGGTTGAGAAAATGAAAATTAACTAATATAATCGATAATAAATAATCGTATTCAGTTATTGGTTCCTAAATTCTGCGATGTCTCATTGTTAACAAACATTTTCTTTCCAGGAATTTTTTATTGAAAAGACGACATTTAAAGAATTTGAAAAAATCTGCGAACAAATTCATAAAGAATAAGAAATTCTATGTGAAATATGTATTTTATGAAAAAGATAAAATTGATTCTAACATTGATTCATTGAGAAAATTTTTAATTGAGAAATATGTTCCTAAACATCTAAGTCATTTTATGTCGTCATTATTTAATAATTTAAAAAATCGATTTTCAGAACGTAACCACCCAAATGGATGAACTTGAACGTCGACTTTGCGCTCAAACTCGGTAATTATACATCATTGAAACGTTTTATATGTCTCAAATTAATCACTAGACCCAGAAATAAGTGGCTGCACTGTTAAAAAGATATATAAATACAAATAAAACTACCTGAATGGTGATGATTTAATTGGTGCACTGCAGAGGCGTATTCAAGGGGGAGCTATGGGGCTTGCCCCCAACCCCCAGGGACCAGTGAAATCTATTGATTTCAGAGAGTTTTCTGAAAACGCCCCTGGTGCACAGTCGAGTTTTGCCAACTGTGTATGGTTTACATTTGTGTGTACATGTGCACTGTCCACGAAGGTTAGAGTACATAAATTGCTCTAGCTACCTGAAAGTTGGTTCGGTACTTAAAATAAACAGGAGTTTTCAGTGTCCAAAAAAGATATATCATTTCCTTATTACTGGTAACTAACTGATTGATATTTTGCAGTGACGCCGGCAATGGGTATTACGTCGAGAAAAATGCGTTGTATGCGAACTATGAAAAATCCCTGGGCCGTGTAAATCTTGTGGAGTTGATCAAACTGTCTGAGCAGTCAGAGTTCAACAAGAAGATAAATCTAAAGGCGAGTTTAAACTTGAAATATTGGGGTATTAATACAAGGGAAGAAAGTTCCAAACCGTGATTATGTTCCAAACCTGACACTGAGTGTCAGGTTTGGGCACAACGTTTTATTAAATGTCTCTCTGCCGAGAGCAAATATCAATTAAAGCCACAATTTCCAACATAATATTAAGCATTTAGGTCATTATTGATTGATTGATTGATTGATTGATTGATTGATTGATTGATTGATTGATTGATTGATTGATTGATTGATTGATTGATTGATTAGGAGGATGCGAGTATGCCGATGGAATCGATGTCCCTGCTAGCTGAGGTAAAAAGAGAAATTAATTCTGATCGACTTTTAATCGGGATTTCATTGATTACTAATTAAACCTTGGGTAGCTTTGTTCTTCTAAAAGGGGCGCTAATTCTAGTTGATACCCACTCCGATACGGTACAAAGTGTTTGCAAAATTTCCGGCTTTTATTGCATTTGGGGAATTGGCTAATAATGTATTAAAAATCAAGTATACTACCCCGTTTAGTTTAATACTTTCATCGATTATTGGAAACAGACTTGAAACATCATTCCCTATCAATTCTCAAGATAATGAGCTTATATTAAGCATTTTTTTCTTAAAATTTTATAAATATGTTTTTTATTTAAAAGTTGATTTGTTTATTATAAAGGGGAACTACGAAGAACCTCCTACTGAGCCTGAGAATAGTATACCCGAGCATACAGGTACATAGGCTGCTTAAAAATGAATTTTCTAAAAAGGCTTAAGGGGGGGGGCACAAACAGTATGCAAACATAACTTAGCATTGTCCTAGGAAGCTGATTTTTTGCACGCGAACTCAAAAATATGTATTGCACATGCATTTTTAGGGTTCGAAAAGATCAAATTTTTCACATTTTAGCTGTCTTAACTACAGGTGGCCAAAATGTACGGATTGTACGGATTTTTTTATTTGTAACCCTGAAATTGTACAAATTGTACGGATTTTTATCCTGGAAAAGCACCGTTTTTTTTAATTTTCACTCATTTCAGCAAATTTTTCATGAAAATTTCAAAAGTTCTCTGGTTCTATTGTTCTCTGGTTCTCTAGTTCTCTATTATCTAGTTCTCTAGTTCTCTAGTTCTCTAGTTCTATAGTTCTCTAGCTTTCTAGCTCTCTAGTTCTATAGTTCTCTATTTCTCCATTTCTCTAGTTCTCTAGTTCTCTAGTTCTCTAGTTCTAAGTTCTCTTGTTCTCTTGTTCTCTTGTTCTCAAGTTCTCTAGTTCTCCAGCTCTCTAGTGTTTAATCGTAATGGTTAAATAATATATATCTTTGCAACCTTATGTGGTAGATTTGTGTTATTACAAGCTGTGAATTCTGCCAGATTAATTAGGCTTCGTTTCAAAAACCAAAGGTTTTCAGGTTGCAAAGATAATGGATTTTAAAATTTAGTTTAAGTTTAGTTTCTTCAGTTGATCTCATTTTTTCATTATTTCCGGGTTCTCATCTAAGCATTCAAATACCTACAGTAGTTTTTACTACCAGGAATATAGGTTGTTAGAGGGAACATCATTGGTTGCTGAGGGAAGGGTGGGNCAGTGTTGAATAATATTTTCAAAAATGGTTTTATTTTTCTTAAATGTACGGATTGCAGGGATTTTTTTCGAAAATTGTACTGATTGTACGGTTTTTTTTAAAAATGTACGGATTTTTTTAAAATGTACGGATTTTTTCAAAAAAATGTACGGATTGTACGGATTTTTTTTGAAAATTGTACGGATTGTACGGATTTTTTTTCGAAAATTGTACGGATTTTTTCTGAAAATGTACGGATTTTTTCAAAAAAGTTTTGGCCACCATGTAACTACTATAATTGAATTTGAAATTTTTATCATGACTCTTAATACAAATATATACTAAAACTTTCGCGTCACAAGACCTACATCTATGCGCGCGCGCATTATATGATTAGTGCTTATATTCCATCCTTAGTCCGGCAAAATTTAGAAAAATATCATGTAATACCTCAAAACATAGGTAAATGGGTAGAAATCGGCTTCTCTACGACAAGTTATGTTTGCACACTGTTTAAATTTTCCGGAGAGTAATAGGTTTTTTAGATATCTTTAAAGATGAAAAGAACGTTTTTATCTGAACAATGCAATTTTATTACATCCAAGTTACAGATTCATCACTAATAAATAAAGGAATGATTTTAAATTGAAAATATATTTTGAAATAACTGACATATCTTTGGAACTCTAGAGATTAAATAATTAATGCCCGGAATATCTTAAAGGGACTGTCGACGAAACTTTAAGCGACCTTTAATCTTTTCCGATTCACAATTCTACCCTTGTTTGGTTATATATGTAGGAAATTGAAAACTTCTTTATGTTAGTTGCTACGGTGTTTAGGGTACCGTTGTGAACTATAGCAACTCATGAATGTTTGCATTCCCTGAAAACTGAATTATTTTTCATAGCAATTATTAACTTGTGAGCTGCAGGCCAGTTTAAATGAATATCGTCATTTTTCACTATTATGAATGTTTTTATTAAACCTTCTAAAGAACTCTAGATACTAAAGGGGCAACTTGAAAATTTGGTTTGTAAGTTTTTTTTTAAGAAATTCAAATAATTTTGAGTAATCGCAAATCTGCCAGTAATATTTAAACAATTAAACCTGTTTAATAAACTGCTAAAGAAGCACCCTAAACTAAGCCTTATGTGTATACTGCATGCTATGATTTACAGTACTCTGTCCGAGTAAATAGTGGGTTATAGTGGAGAGTGGAAAAAGGCAATTATTATTTAGGCCGCCAGGGGGGGAGGTCTCTCAAGCGGAAGAAAAAAGCTGTTAACATGGAGAACCCAAGGTAGGGCATTATTTAATACGCGATTTTTATTTTCTCTTGTTCATTTTTAAAATTTAACTTTTTCAGCTAATTCAAGGGAAGGTTTTCAGTTTTTCAAACACTTGTCAGTTGCTTTTAGATTTTGAAGGTTTCGTCAAGAACTGTTTATTCCAAGGGGTTTTTAGAGTTTAAAGTGCGGACTTCTAAACAGCTCTTTTGAAGAACTAATAATGTTATTTATTATAAGTATTTAAAATTATAAATTAACCAACTATCATCTTTATATTTTAATACTTATTTGTATGAGTCAAATTATCATGTAGAACTCAAGTGATAAATTATTTACTAAATCAATTCCTTTCATTTTTACACGAAATTTGCATCGATTTAAAGTTTGGTTTTGATAATTAATGCGAAGAATAGGGTTTTTGTAAAATGTACTTTGTTTACTAACGTTTTGATAAAACTAGTTCTTAGTGGTCCGAATATATCATAGTCAAATCGCTACATCTTTGCAACATCCTCGTGGTGAAAACCTTTTTCAAACATAGCTTATTTAATGTAACAGAGTAATAGTTTGAAATATAAAATCCATATATCTGGGTTGCAAAGTTTGGGGCAAAGACTCACTTCTTTTACTAAATATTTATATTTAGGACTTCTGGCAAATCTTCAGAAAGCAAGAGAAACAAAATATAAGATATTGTACTGATATTATGATCATTTCTGTAAATTCTCCGATATTTTCTCTATTTTAAGCAAATTGAAAACATGATTTTGTGAATTTATTTTTTATTGCGTTTTTTGAGCGTAAGTTATTTGCTGATATTGTAAACATTGCAGCATTATTGTCAATTTTCTATAAAAACTATTTTGATTGTTTCTGTCCAGCGGATATTATGTATTTTAAATTTTTCTATGCAAAGATTCGGCAAAATGAAAATTGTAAAATATAATCAAGTTATTGTTGATATTGATATACTGAACATATATTGAAGAACAATAAATCTATTATTTAACAGATAAAGTTTCGCGCCCATCTTCTTTTTCAACTTTTAACTGTGGCTCTATCTGCGAGCAAAAGTTGGCGGATTTACTCGTATTTGTTTTTGCTCATTTTCAAACTTGTAAATTACACAATTTTATAAATTTATAAATTTCATAGCAATTTATTTATTTTTACAATTGCCGAGATTTCAGTTTAATAGTTTAAAACTCAATGAAAAATTCTCAATACAACATTTCATAAATTCTTACGATTTTTCCAAAGTTCTGGGTTAGACTATATTAAAAGAGTCCTCGAAACAAATTTGTTTAGATTATTTTTTAATCAATTTTTAAAAAGCTGTGAAAATTTTCGTGGTAATCCTGAATCTTCTAAAGTTTTTGACAAGGTTTTTTCATAAAACCACTCGGCTATTTTTCAAAGGTTTAGATTCTCAAGATAAGAAAAATGAGCATGGTCTTGAGATCAGATAAATCACGGTTTTTATATTTGGACAACTTTCAGGGAAATAATCCGAGAGATAAAATATCTAACACTCGTTCTTCCTTCATACAGGGTTACCCTCAAAGGATGGCACTTCAGTGACGGTTGCTGGGAATCGTAAATAATAGAAGCAGCAAGTATAAATTCTGTACAGTCGTCTCTCATGTCTCATCCTTTGTGAGTAATCCTTGGCTTTTAGGGCTCAATTGTGGGCATTTTCTCCTTGTACATGCATTGTAAAACAAAAACAGAAAAATTAGCGGATTTTATTTTATTTAAATCATAGATTTTCAAAATGTAATTAAAAATCGAATTTTGTTGGAAGCAAATTTCTGAAATTTTGATAATCTCTAAACCTTTCCCCCAAAATCTGGGGTCAGAAAAGAAAAAAACACCCCAATTGTTTGATTTATTGTTTTTTTTTATAAAAAAAAATGCATTTTCTTCATGTAGTAAAGAGAGAAAAGGAAAATTGTGTTTTGGCAATTTCCTTTGTAAATATATCACGGAAATTCTTTCCACACATTTGTATTTCTAAGAGTAAAAATCTCAGGATAAATTTCCCAAGAAATATTTATAAAATGAAACTCCACAACACAAATAAAAAATCGTTTACAAAAAATAATATCTTTATTGATTTGTGCAGTAATTAAAATAACTTTATTTTGCAAGTTTTAAGTATTCTTAAAATCATCCTAAATAATTCGGGAAAAGAGCAGTTTAAAAATATATAATTGTTCCCCACACTATATCATCCAAAGCGAATAGAATGTATATAAGAGTGGAATTTACTAGAAAAAAGTGTGAAACGGCCATTTTTGTTAAGTACTGTTTTCATACTGCAGGTGTACTTTACATATTTGTGCTATATAACCTTTGCGCCCTTGAATATCATTTTATAGCAAATCTAAAATTAATATTAAAAGAAAACTAAATCATTAAATAGGCTGGTTTAATGATAGACCAATGATCACTTCACATAGACTATGCCTTTCACTTAACAAACAATGGTTTTCCGTTATAACTATAAATTCATTTTATAAAGTTTATTTAACAGCTTTAAAAAATTCGAAATTTAAATGGATAGTCTAGGGAACATTCTGTATTAATGTACTCTACTGCATATAATTTGTGAACATTTACATGATTTGTACACTTTGAACTCCCTTGCAGGCTGAAAGAGACTGACAAAATTCATACCGAGGGATTTTCTTAATTCCACTCTAATATATATTCTATTATCTTTGATATCATCGCTTTTATTGAGAACCTGGAAATTATTAAATAGCTTTAGTTTAACTTACACTTTGAATTAAACTTATTTCTCAAGTATTCTAGTACAATAGATGGCAACGTAGAATTTGTACATTCTCAGTTCATCTGTATTCTGACGTCACATGTACAACTCCGTTTTTGTTGCCAGCAAAATTATTGCTACTATTTTACTGATAATAAAAAATTCCCGAATATCGGATATATTTTTTTCAAATTAAAAATGTATTTATTCTTATTGAACTTCATTAGTTTTTTTGATATTATTTCTAATGTTTTTAACCATATATCTACTATCTTTGGTATACATATAAATATCCATTTTGTAGCAAAGTTTGCTGTAAACGACATATTTATTTTCAAGTTTATTGTGTTTAACTTTTAAATCCGAATCCAGTCACAAACACTACATGGAAAAGGAATTGTCGAAGTAAGTTCAGATGACGTTTCTTTTCAATTGTTTAAATGGTTTCACAGTGGCAAAGGGGAAAATACCCCCCCCCCCCTCCTTCCCTAAAACTAAAATCCAACTTTTTCTTTAAAAATAATTTCTGCATTTTTTTCAAGAATTAGAATCCTCATATTACTCCGAAAAAAACTATCTGGCAAAATGGAAATGGATCTCTACATTCTACAGCACAAAAAGCATGAAAATGGCAGCAATTTTTCCTATTGTTCAAATGACCTTAGAAAAACACAGAGATCCAGATTGCTATGAAAAGTTGCACCAATTTTTAAGTCTTAGATTTTATCTCCCTACCTCAAACATACTGTTTTGTAGCCCTGGGCATGTATATGTGCTCCTGGCCCAACTGGGGGGGTAGGTTACGTACCCAGGTGGAGCAGGTAGAAGGCATACAAACATAATGGACGAGCATCCAAAATACCCTGGCGCACCTCTTTAATGCACTGACAGTTTTTCAAGCATGTATTTCAGGATAGGTGTACTCATACAGCTCTAGTCGAGAACTGAAAGAACAATATAATCAGTCCCGACTAGTATAATAATCTAAATATATTGTTTAAACTTGTAAAATAATAAAAGAGTTTACAACATAAGCCATTTAACGTTGCCCAGGATTTGCGTTTATAAATAATAAAGAAAAACAAAGTTGAACTGGCCAAGTAGCCGTAGTAGATCTCTATGCTTTGCGAGTTGATCGTGAGGTAGGATTGCTAGCTCTGCAGTCAGATAAGTATCAGGAACAAGACTAAAAATGGTGAGTTGAGTATATGCTCTTTTAGTGTATCTTCAGATCCTTTGCTTAAGTAACAGTTTATTCACATCGATACAGGGACTCATAAATCTAAATAGTACCTATCAATGATCCGCAGGTTGAGCCTAGGATCAGTCTTATCCAGTGGAGGCTGGGAGGTACATGTGAGGTAGATGAGGTACAGTTATGGTCCGCTGCTAGGAGGAGGTCGAGAAGGTGTTCATCGACCACAATAAACTTGAACTAAATAGGTTAATGTTAGAACAAATTGATCATGGGTCTCAAGTGTTCATCATGTTATTCACCTTTTAAATAACAGATGGCTGCACCAGTAGGTGAGGTAGGAGGAGATCCTTGAGAACATGAACCAGATGGAGCACTACAGGTTTACGATGCTCGGGCTGGAGGAGTAGATACTTTCAGTGTGGATCATCGGAAGAGTAGGTTGAGACGGTGTAGAGGAGACCCGTCAGAAGCTGCATCAGACCGTGGATGATCCGAGCAGAGGTAGTAGCGTAGTTAATGCATAGCAACGAGGTACGGTTAATCCTAACAAAGGTTTCGTTAGAATAAGTAATGAGTTCAACTGTTAACTTAAGGTTTAAAAGGTTTAAAGGCTCAAAGGTTCAAAGGTTCAAATTCACTAATGTTCACCTGGTATATATATCTTGAGGCTGAGCCTTACGAGAGGAACGTGGAGGAGGCGGTTTGGTCCCCAAGCATCGGCTTCCTGCTGAGTAGGATCAAGTCGGAACTGCTCGATGATAATTTCTCTCAGGGGTGATATCTGAATTCCCATATATAAATCATCTGTGCAACAAGGGCTTGAATTGGAGGATAGACCAAGGAAAGCAATATAAAATCTTACAGATGGTTTATAAACCTTGATTAAACGCAACCTGGGCAACACTTCAATAGAACACGATGGGGTAATCAACCCATTCTAATTCTGAAAGTAAATATAAAGTTATTTTTTAGAAAGAAAAGCTGGCTAGACTTTTAACTACTTTTTAGGAATAAAACTTTGAGTTCAATACATAAAACATTCTCATTATTTGGATAAATATGGGTAAATGCAGTTAAATAGGAATAAATATATGCAGTTTTCATAAGAATAAATATCTAAATATGAGGGTATAGTTTCGAGAATAGTCTATAGTTCACGGTTTTAAATGTTTATAAGTGAGAGAGGTTCTTGCATCAGCTGTCTTCTCTCTTGGGGAGTTCGCAGTTCGTCATTCCTCGTTAAGTTTGGAGATACCCTGAACAAAGACGACGTTTAGATCTGTAGGATCTTACAGTATAAAGCATTTTTCTTTAGCCTTAGCTGTTATGAAGTAATTGTCAAGAGAGCTGTCAATCTTTGGATCACTGTGAACAGGTTACCCACATAGAATTTATTTAAAGTTCCTTGCAATTTTATTTTCTTATTTCTTTGCACAATTAGTTAGAATTACTATATTAGTTTAAATCCTACCTTTAGATTATCAATTTAATGAGTGTTATCCTTACAACCCCATCTATAGTATTAGACCTTATGTCTAATTAAATTATATATGGTGGGGTTTGAAATGTTTATTGATAAAAACTTGTTACTGAATATATTGGAGCATTATTTAAAGTATGGAGTTAATTGCTGCAGGGGGAGTTGGGGAGCTGCTCAACTGCTGTTATAGATGAATCCTAGAACCCTGAGCTTCTATGGTGCAGAACTGTTGAAGGATGCTGCTGTAGGGGAGCTGCTAGAAGCTGGTATAGATGAATCCTAGATCCTGGAGCTTTCTGGTTCAGGACTTGGTCGGAAAATGATGTTTCTATTTTGATTTTAAAGTATCAATAAAATGCCCTTTTTGTTGGTGCAGAGTTGATTTGTGAACTCTGGAGCTGCGCAAGGGTCGGCTTCAACAGCTTTTATCAATGTTTTAAGATTCCAAAGTTTGTTTTAAGGCGTGGTTTTAACCTTAAGTCTACGCCTAAAAAATACGCACACAGTGTTCACAGGATGTTCACAAAAAATACAAACATATAATATTTTAAAAATTTTATCATAAAAGCACAAATATCAATTTTTAAAGAGTCTTATCCATTCGTTTGTGATTTTTACAAAAAGGAATTTTTAGTTCTAACATTCTTTGTTAATAATACTCCCTACAACTCCCTTACAATAGCCTAGGGATCGTTTCTCAGTTAAAGGTTTAGGGAGAATTTACATGTTATTAAATATCTATATTGTAGGCTTGTTTTCATTCCCTTGAAGTTTGAACTATGCACTAACACTATGCAGGAAAACTCATTGCTAAAACTTTTGTAAAGGTTCAAGTTGAATATTATTTAACTTTTCCATACTTTGCATTCTTGTCATTTATATTTGTTTTTAAAGTTTTCTAAGTATGTGGAACATACTAATTTTATGTTTCTTAGTACAGCTATTTAGATAAGTGAGTTCAATCTGAATAGTCAGGAACAGGCCCTTTAAATCTGCTTATATCTCGATGCATAATGAACTGATGAGATCATCTTAGGATGAGATCACCTTGCATAGAGGACAACACATGTGGAGAAGCTAGGAAGCTGATGCCCGGGAGAAAGAGATCACTCCTACCGAAGCCTTTGGCTTGAGAAGACCTATAGTCTGTCGTGCGTCCTGAATTTTATTATCTATATATTTTACTTGCAGATTGATAAAATGATTGGTATGAAAGTTCTGTATCATGAGCTCTTCATCTAAGGTAGATGGAGGTCTCCTGGGAAATGAGCTATCATATTAATTGTTGATTTTAAAAGCATTTATTAGTAAATTTATTGAAAATTAAATTCGGTTCGGCACAGGACTATAGTATAGTAAATAATTGCCGGAAATATAGAATAGTTGTCGGAAATATAGAAAAGTTGCCGGAAATATTGAATAGTTGTTGATAATATAAAATAGTTTCCAGAAATAAATAAAATAGTTGCCAGAAATATAGAATAGTTGCCAATTATATAGAATAGTTGCCGGATATGAATATCGATGTGAGATATTTTCTTAGGTTACAAGGTTAACCTTTTAATGTATATGTATCTGGACCCTGTCGCTCCGGGAGTAGCGGGATAGACAACCAACGGGGTCTGAATTTGGTTTTACCATCACTGAGAAGATCAAGCTTTCAACACCGAGAAGATAAAGTTTCCATCACGAAGAAGCAGATAAAGTTTCCAACACGAAGAAGCAGATAAAGTTTCCATCACGAAGATCTGGTTGACATCACTAAGAAGCAGATAAAGTTTCCATCACGAGGTCACATTAAAATTTTTGCATTTTTGATTCCAACACTGGATTTTAACGTCACTGGATTCCATCAGTCATCAGAAGACCTACATTTTTGATTCCAACAGCCTTAACGTCACTGGATTCCATCAGTCATCAGAAGACCTACATTTTTGATTCCAACAGCCTTAACGTCACTGGATTCCATCAGTCATCAGAAGACCTCAGTTCCAATAATCATTACGAGATTTGGAATCCCGGAATCAACACGATATTTACGCTACCGAGCGTACGTCCGTTCGTCCGTCTTATATTCGTAACGTAAACAACTGTTCCAGAAGTTAATCCTGCAGAGAAGTACTGTTCCAGATTCCTGAAAACTGTTCCAGAAGATTTCCCGAGATAAAGATTACTATTACAGCCTACCAAGAAACACAGTTCTGTTCCAGAAGAAGCTATTACAGTCTACCAAGAAATACATTGCTGTTCCAGAAGAAACTATTGCAGACTAAGAAGAAGTACATTGCAAAAGTACTGTTCCAGAAATAACTGTTCGGGAACGCAGAACTAACGTTAACGAATTACGTACCGTACCGATAACTAACACCGCATACCGTATGCAAAACGTATTGTTCATAATATAATTGCTGTAGTTGCCGTTAACAGCAAATTAAAATATAATAATAAATAAGAGAACCCAAGATACAAGATACTGTTCCAGAGAAAAAACAACCTGTTACAAGAGTTCCTGTGTTCCAGAAGCAAAATCAGATTGTTCCGGAGTATCGTCCAACATGGTGACTACGCCATCCCTTGGACTACTGTTCCAATGTTAAAGGAAGTAAATAACCAACTTGTTCCAATGTTACAGAAGTAAAACTACTAGAGGGTTCCTGAAACTGAGATACTACTCCAGAAACCGGAACACATATATTATGAACAACGATAACGTTTAATTGACTAACACCTATTACATAACTCCGCATTAACAAATGCAAAACTATTAGCTCCGCATGAAAATGCACCCTATTAAATCCGTCTTTTTGAGTAATTGAAAATTTCAAACTTTTATTACTTTAAATTTTTGGTCGGGAAGATTGCCTAATCTCTTTTTGATATATTCTAATCTCTTTTTGATATATCTAATTTAACGAAAAAAGGCTCTGTCTGAGTTTTAAATTTATAGACGATTTTCTGTAAAAAATATAAAATTTCAAGTTCGGGTTAAAAGAGGATTTTGAAAGAATACAGATGAAATGTTGAAATAAGTCTTAAAGATTTACATAGAGAAACTAGAATTGTTAACTGTAAAAGAATATTAACTTTGGAATTAAAATATTCTGTTATTTTCACCAAAATTTAGTGAATTAAGCCTATAAAATTAAAAGTCTTGAGAGAAAAAGCCATTAAACAAAGTTCATTAAAATTTCAAGTTGCGAACAAAAATATTTTGATATTTAAATTCAAGATCTATTTTATTCGAGAAAAATCTGCAGTTTACAGATTCATTTTTGAATCTTTTCTGTATTGAACGTTTTTCGATACCCACTTTTGAATCCAGATATTCTGTATTTTAACTGAAAACTTATTTTCTGCAGAAAATCTAAAATTTGAAAATTAAGTTCTACATATTTTCTATTTTCCAAAAAGAGATAAAACTTTTGAATCCAGATATTCTGATATTTAAATTCAAAAACATATTTTTGAAGGAAAATCGAAAATTTTAAAGATTTCTTTTGCAAACTTCTTTTCTATTAAGCAAAAGAGTTACAAACTTTTGAATCCAGATATTCTGATATTTAAATTCAAAAACATATTTTTGAAGAAAAATCTAAAATTTTGAAGATTTCTTTTTACAAACTTCTTTTTTAATGAGCAAAAGAGTTACAAACTTTTGAATCCAGATATTCTGCTATTTAAATTCAAATACATATTGTGCAGGAAAATCTAAAATTTTGAAAATTTCTTTTTGCAAATATCTTTTATATTGAACAAAAGAGATACAAACTTTTGAATCCAGATATTCTAATACTTAAATTCAAAAAACATATTTTTGAAGGAAAATCTAAATTTTAGAGATTTCTTTGCTTTTCAATCCCATGCACCTATATGGCCTATATAAAATATATTAATATATTTATATATATATTTCATATTTTCTATATATTGATAGGAAGCGTGCATTAGACGAAGGAAGTGAATTTTTGCCACAAACATTTATTTTTACTCCTTGCAAACCCATAGACCATAGACCTTTATTTATTTTAAACTTTCAATTCTGTTAGATTTAATAGTTATAAGTTTGAAATATTAAAGGTCTAGACTATCAGGTTGCAAAGATATAGAACGGGATTAGAAAATTTGAGTTTGTGGCCAAAAACTCAGTTTCTTTACACTAAATCTTACATGAATACCCAGCTCTGTATTTTGAGTAGCTAGCTTTCTGTCAAAAATACAGAATAATCCAAGTTGTTTAAGCTGTCTCGTAAGAATCTGTTTGAATTTTGCCAATTACTTCTTCGAAAAACTAAAACTAAGTATCTTACAACTCTAAAATGTACACTATAGAGTTATACAAAAGTATGAGTTAGTTAGTGAGGTTTAAATCAAAGAACAAAACGTGCATTGCTACACTTTAAAGTCAATCCAGCCGAAAATTGATCCATGTGAGCTCTATAGACTGATCTAGATTAATGAACCAAAG